CCCCCCCCCATCTCTTTCGCAATATCTCCACTGGCCTCATGGCCTCCTCTCTTGGCCTCGAAGACGGCCCGTCTCTGTTATCGTGTGGCGCTACAGAGGAGTGTTGCCCTTCCACCATAAGACAGCCGCCATGTCTCCTCCCAAGTTGGACTTTCTCTTCAAGTCGGCGTGTTGTGGAAGAAGTCTGGCAGCGAGGCCAAGCGACGGCTCAAGATGAGGACCAGAACTCTTCACGCGTTGCTCACCACTCTCACCTGCTTCTTGGTGTCAGTGTCGGCGCAGATGACTAGCCCCTCAAGCGATGATTATACTTGGTATTGATTCACGCCCCAAAGGACTCGCCAACGAATAGACGATTGACAGTGCTAAAGTTCCCCTTCAAAACCCTGCTCTATAGGATGTTGCGGCAATAATGGTGTCTGGTAGGATAACCACCACCTCTTTACTTGACACATGATGAACATTCACTTACACATTACTCAACTGAAGTGGCTTGGGCCCTGACTACTGTGCCCCGGCCAACTGCACGTCGAGCTGTGACGCCAAATCAGAATGCGATCCTGGCTGGGGAAGCGAATGGAGTTCGGCTGAGAAGTGTCCTCTAAATGTTTGCTGTTCTCAGTACGGATTCTGCGGTCAGTCCTCTACATTTCTCTCAACTTTCTCATTCCCACGTTACTAATATTGCCGCAGGTACAACCTCGGACTTCTGCGGTACCGAAACCGTGGCCGCCCCATCCTGCAGCGGTTCATCTTCAAATGGGAGGACCATTGGGTAATTTCGTCGATCTGGAATTTGCAAGGTCCATGCTAACCTGCGTCCTAGATACTATGAAGGATGGTCTATTACTCGAGCTTGCGATGGAAGTAAGGAGCTCTCTTCATGGGCCCTCGTCATGAGCCAAAACCTCATGAACCTCAGGAATGCTTACTGATCATGGTTATTCGTAGTGCCCCCTGAGGCTATTCCAGCGGGAGCATACACCCACCTCAACTACGGTTTTGCCTACATTGATCCAGAGTCGTTTGCAGTTGCTCCCATGAGTGAGTCAGATCTTGGGTTGTACTCTCGGTTCACCAACTTGAAGGAATCAAATCCGGGTCTCAAGACCTGGATCAGTATAGGTAATTATTAATTCCAGACCAATGTTACCACTCAATACTAATTCTGTCATTGAGGTGGCTGGTCCATGAATGATCCCGGGCAACCAACAGCGTCAACTTTCTCAGACCTTGCGGGTTCGGCCAGCGCACAAGAAGCCTTCTTTAAATCGTTACTGTCTTTTATGACCACCTATGCCTTCGATGGGGTCGATATTGACTGGGAATACCCGGTCGCCCCTGAACGGTCCGGGAAGCCTGCAGACTTCGCAAACTATCCTACTTTCTTGTCAAATCTCAAGGCGGCGCTCGGCTCTACCGGTCACAGCTACGGGCTCTCAATTACCCTTCCATCAAGCTATTGGTACATGCAAAACTTCGACATCGTCAAGATCGAACCAATTGTCGACTGGTTTAATGTAATGACGTATGATCTTCATGGTACTTGGGACTCAACAGATCCTTATATTGGCCCTTACGTCTATGCGCATACCAATCTCACAGAAATCGACCAGACAATGGACCTTTTCTGGAGAAACAAAATCGATCCATCCAAGATTACTCTGGGCCTCGGCTTCTATGGCCGTAGTTTTACCCTTGCTGATCCGAGTTGCACGAGTCCTGGCTGTCCATTCAGCTCCGGCGGCAATCCAGGCCCTTGTTCAGCCACTTCTGGCACTCTCATGTCTTCGGAAATTGATGCCATTATTGCTGCCGGAGCAGTCCCAACCCTGGATGAGGTCGCTGCCGTGAAACAAATAGTCTGGGATGACAACCAATGGGTCTCATATGATGACACGGAGACTATTGGAATGAAGATCGATTATGCAAATGCCCACTGTCTAGGTGGTACAATGGTATGGGCTGTATCAACTGATAGTGAGAACGCTAATGCGTCTATGGCCCTCCAATCACATAATGGACTTTCCAAGAAGAGTTTGTTCGGTGGTGGGAGCACGCCTCAAGAACCGACTCTCAGCCAGTGCGTCTGGGGAGGCTGTGATGAAGAATGTCCAGCAGGTACTTCCCCTGCCCAGACCGGGACTGGAAAGTCTGCTTCAAATGCCGCAATCTACAGTGGATGTCCTTCTGGCAAATCTCGGAAGTACTGCTGTCCATCCAACGATGTCCCTGTCTGCAAATGGGTATGGAAACCCTGGCTATCCTAGTGATTTTGCGATTAATATATTTGTAGGTCGGTTCGGCTCCATTCTGTAGTAAATCAACTTGCCCAGAAGGCCAAGTGCAAATAGCCACAGATCAGAGTGGTGGTGGACACTCCTGTTGGTTCAATCACAAATCCTTGTGCTGTACCGCGAGTAAATCAGACGCGGCAGCCAGCCAATGTGGTAAGTAACATCTCCTGCCTTGCTTCATTCCTTGGAATGTATTCAAGCCTCATGTTTGTACTGACAGCAGCTAGAATGGACTGGCAGTGCACCTTTCTGTGCGTCGGGCACAAATCATGCAAATTGTCCCTCCAACTACCCCGACTTTGTCACTTATAGCCCTTATGGAGCTGGGGGCGAATCTCAGTGCTTTAGCGGTTAGGACCAGAAACTCGAATATACACGTATATAGCTGATCTTTTATTTTAGGATACAAAAGTCTTTGCTGCACAGATCCAGAACCTTATCAAAACTGTGCCTGGTTCGTTGATACTGATCGACCTGAGAGATTTCGAATATCTTATTTACAACGACTTTGTAGGACACAGAGACCACATTCCTGGTTGGCTCCCTTCACGTGCAATACCGGTTGCCCAGCTGGCCAGCAAATTGTTGCTGAAAGCCACTTAGACCATGGCAGCGACGCACCATGTCTTCATAATACGGCTAGCTACTTTTGGTAAGACCTACCAATATGATCTCTTATCCAGTTATAGTCATGATGCTGATAACATCCTTAGCTGCGATGAGTTCAATCAGGTGCCTATCTTCTCCCAGTATATCAGCGTGGCCTTTTTTTTGCTAACTCCCACAGACCGCACCTACCACCGACCCTCCCAATTTCTGCGTGGCTGCCTCTACTGATTATGTCCTCTCTGGCCAACCAGATCCAGACGGAAACGTTGCAGATCTTCTTGAACTATACTGGTACGAAGATGAGTGCTACCCTATCCCAAATACAGGTGATCCAGACTCCATGAAACGTTGGCTTCCAGAGCTGGAGTACGGTTATGAGGGTAAACGACCAACCGCGATGCCGCCTGGGAGTCGGAACGATGGTGTTCCCAAGATCTGCAATGCGGATAATGAATGTTACAATGTCCTTAGTCCAGAAAAAGATCTTAGTTTCCAGCAACTGTTGTCTTCGGCCCTCAACCACTCACATGCTATTCTCGAACCTCGCGGACGCGTTGCCAAAATTTGCCTTCCCAAAGGTAAATCCAACAGCTTCAAGGCCAAGAACTACCCAGGTGTGCAACCATTATCGACAAGGGGCAGGCAATTCTATGGCGCAATGAAATCCGGGGTCCAAGCGGGACTCTGTGCAGCCCTTCCTTTGATTTCAGGATCCCGTGTTCTCGGTGAGAATTACGTTACAGAGCACGTGATGGAACTTCAGACCCCAGCGCAATTTGCGAATAGTATGCTTTCGGGACTTCTTCCCAGTGGAGCAACCGCACCGGGCAGCGGGTATGACTGGACCCAAGTGTTCGGTCCTAATGGCTACATGTTTCAGACTTGGGCCCAATTAGGAATTTCGCCGCCTTCGGGTTTTACTGGAGATACCCCTGCTGATGCCCTCTACAACGCTCTTGGATCTACGGCTGATATCAACAATCTTCAAATCTTGGATGCCGCTACAAATAGTTTAAAGGCAGGGGTAAGTGACAATTCTTGGGCTTATGTAACGATACCCGTGACTGAAATGGGATCAGGTTTGGCAACTATTCAAAAATATTGTCTCTCCCACACGCTTTAGCAAGGAAGGCCCAAAAGGACAAGTAGAGTTCATTAATCGAGTAAGCAAATCCCGCTCGTAGCCTGTTGGAATCAAACCATTATTAACCTTGTCACTCTCCAGCTCTACCAAACACTCCCATCATATCTAAACGACCAGGCAGTAAGAAACTTCACTCTCTACTGATACGCTATAACTCACCAAAGTTAGGTTCAAAAGTCTCTCACATATGGTTACAACGCAATAAAGAACGTGATGGCAGCTCTCGACTCCTCTCCCAATGTCAAGGCTATCCCAGGAACAACTTTCGCCGCATGTTTCAAAACCTTCTCCCAGGATTTCTTCAGCACGATGCAATCAAACCTGCGAACTTTCATCTCGGATAAATTGGACCAGGTTATCCCGTACTGGGCGTCGAGTGCGGCGGAAAAGCTCTTCACAAAAGCTGGTGCGCAGGCGGTTCTCGCAGCCTTGCAGAAAAAGGAGAATAATTTGGTGGCAGATGTCGTTATTAACTCGGGATTTGTACAGTGATATCAGAACCCATGAATTCCATTTCTTTGATTTGATCTGTATAAGTAGTTGCAAATCTTGAATGGAGAATAATATCTGTGATTCTAACCTATCAGTTCCTTTGGACATAAGTGTTGAGACACCATATAAAGTTCCCGACAGCGTGCCTCTAGCCGCTATGCTGAGTCCCAATTGACCATGGTCCTTTGGAATCGGACGAAGGGCAGCATTTACATCCGGGCCTAAGGCTGGGCTACGAACTCCCACTCCCATCAACTGGCGGCTCATCAACATCGTCCGTACTCATGGGGGCTTCGCCACCTGCGTAACGAATTGAATGCGGCGTATTCTGTTTTCAGCACGTACCTGCAATGTGCAACGAAGATAGCGAAGCTGCTGAGAGAGAGGATGAAAATTGGTTTCTTGGTCAAAGGAAGCTTTTTAAAATCATAGTCGACAGGGAATGCAACCCCTTTGTTGAATGCATAGATTTCATCAGTGCTATTTGCTCCCTATTGCAAGCTCCACGCTCCTAGATCTTCTATCGAATCTAATTTTTAGCGGTTGCAATCTAGCCCACTTGGCCCGGCCATGTCTATCGCTAAATCTGGGCAACTTGAAAAGGAGGTTGACGGCTTTGACGGCGTCATGGCATGGCTTGACTTCCCTATCGATTTCAAAGAAAGAGTCTAACATTGGATCCTCATTAGAAAGAACATTCGTGTCTGGATTAAAGTAGTGATAACAAAAAGTAACTAACTAGTAGAATAAGTCCCGTCATTCGTGCTTTAAAAGCAAAGAGTAAGGTACCTTCCAGTGCCTGTGGTAGACCTAGCCTAATATAGCCCTTATGGTTTGTTATATAGTTCTTTTCAACACTTACCTTACGTTATGTAGAGGGGCTTTGATGGCTCTAGTTCGTACGCTAGTAGAGGAATTTCATCATTTCGCAGCTCAGAATCAGTTAACGGTTTCAGTCCTAGAAAACCTAAAATCAACGTCGAAGGCTAGCGATAAGCGAGCCGACGATTATCCGCGAATTATTGCTAATACAAGGTACATGTTCGGTTTGGGACACACAATATCCAACATACAGCATCCTTTTTATCCTTTCTTCTCTTCTAGCGAATTGGTGACCATGTCAGCAGAAGATAGAAACATCCCTCGGGAACGAAGTAGACGTGCTACCGCCGCTTGCGATTCCTGTCGACAGAGAAAGGTGCGTTTTTCAAGCCTTTTCGGGTCTTGTCACAGCTACTAATGGATGCAATCAGATAAAATGCGATAATACCAAGCCAAGGTGCCGAAATTGTGAGATACACGATAAGTCTTGCTCTTACGTGAGGCGGCTGGAGAAACCCAGGTTTGTCGATTTGCATCTTCATTCTTCCCTATCCAAGCCACGTGACATCATGCTCACCTCAGTTGACAGGCCTTCGAACGCACGTATCATCCGCTTAGAAGAGGAGAATCGCCGACTCCAGGAATCTTTGTCGAGACTGGGCATGCTCATATCCTCTGAAGGAAAAGATACAGCGACTACACCCTCTTCATCTCCTCTCACAGTAGCCACTCGAGGGCCATCAAACACACCGGCAGTCATCGCTGCTGATTTACCAGAGACTTCCAAATCTCTTACTAGCAGTTCACCTGCGCCACCCGTCTCGTTTTCCGCGGATCGGGAGTCACGATATCATGGCCCAACCAGTGCATTGTTTGATGAAACATCTTCTAATCCCGAGACACGGCTGAACCCAACTGCAGTTCCGAATGTCCCTGAGGCTTGGATACAGAATAAATTACTAGGGCAAACCGCAAGGCAACGTATGTCCCGAGTCTTTTACTTGGCTACTACTGTCGCAAGTCGAGATCGAGTTCTAAGTTGTGTTTCGAAAATATGACAGGGAACTAATCAATGTCGAACCACAGGACAGCTTGAATCTATCAACTTTTCTTCTGGCAAACTTGATTTCGATGGCGTCGAACCAGGCCTGGGTATGCAACTCCTCTCTATCCACTGGAATCGTCAAAACCATTATGGTTTAATTGTCTATCGAAGTGCCTTTATGCGGGACATGGCTTGCGGAGGGCCATATTTCTCGAAACTTCTTCTTAACGCAATATATTTTGGAGCGTCTCCACATTGTTCCAGGCCTGAGATACGTCGTGATCCCGAGGATGTTCGAACGGCAGGATGGCTATATCGACAGCGGGCCATGGAGCTGCTAAGCACGTCGTTCGATAAGAGTAAGATCACTACTATACAAGCCTTGCTTATAATGGCACAGGCCCTATTTACGTGGTGTGACGAGAGAAGTGCCTCATGGCTGTATGCTGGAATGGCTTTCAATATGATCATTGACTTAGGGCTGCATGTTGATGCACCTTCATGCGCGGCGACCCTTTCCGAGGAGGATTTAGAGATCCGTCGAAGAGTCTTTTGGGCGGCTTTTGGTAAATCTAGACCCTTATTCCCTTGCTCGAAAATTGACTAAGACTTTACAAAAATAGCTATAGATAAAGTTCAATCTCTTTATCAGGGAAGACCTGCTTGTCTCCGCGAAGCTAATACCAATGTTCCTATAAAATTCTTGGACGAATACGAAGAATTAGACCACTTCAACGGACTCTCGTATACCGAGTCCCAAAGCTATCCCCATTCTCCAGTATATGGCATCTCTTCGTTCAGAGAGCTGTGCAAGCTTAGCGTCATCATGGACAGGATTCTTGGCAGCCTCTACGCAGAGAAGAGCGCAACGAGGAATCCAGATGATCTCTTTCAGGAATCAAAAGCTCTATATACTGATCTAGAGCGCTGGCGCAAAGATTTGCCGTCCTCTCTGGACTTCAAGCTTGTCGGGAGTGGCGACACAACCCTGCTGCCTCATATGCTTTCGATCTTGTATGTTTCCATGCTCTAAGGAAATCCGGCAGATCCGCTGATACTTCTGGTGATATACAGAGCGATGTTCAATGTCCTCGTTATATTACTCCACCGACCATTTGTCTCGGATGGCCACCTCTGTTCTACTACTGCGTCGGTTGCATATGATTCATTTCTTATATGCGCATCTGCCGCAACGGAGATTGATCACATTTTACGGGCATACAGCAAGGTGTTCTCAATGAGATATTCGCCCTACTTCCTTTCCTATGCTACATATGTAAGCGCAACAATCCATGTTCGTATAGCCGCTCAAAGGGAACCTGGGTCAGAAGCACATCGTTCGCTACAGAATTGTTTAGACGTGCTCACCGAGCATCAGTCTCTTTGCGCGGCACCTAGGAGGGCGAAACGTATTATCGAGAGCCTCGCGAAGCGTATGGGTGTTACAACTTCCACAGGAAATAAGGGGGCCGAACCACCTATCCCGACTCTAATTCAGAACAGACCCGAGTTGTTTGGAGCCGAAGGATCAGCTCAGGCTCCTGTTGGTAGTAATCATGGTAACGTCGAGCCTGCACAGCCTGATCTTGATATGGATGCTATTAGACGGAGCTTCACCGTTGAACATCAACCCTCCCATCCTTTCGTCTATCGCTTCGGACCAGTCCCATCCGCGCCCGAGTCCGATCCGACGATGAATATCAATTTCAGCAGCACTCTCTCGACTATTCCTTCACCGCACCCAAACACACCCTTATTATACGATCCTCTGTTTGGATTCAGTGGACCAACGCTCGGCAGTAATGGGATAGGGTTCGAAAATAATATCTTTTGGGGTGAAGAGTAAACACCTTGCCGGACTTCTCTCCTTCAGTCTTCGAGAGATGCCTGCGTCTCTAAAGGCTTTTTTCAACGATATCGTCGCTGGTTCGATGCGGCTTTATGCTCGGCATCATAGGTAATCTTGCGACGGTAACGGGTCGGATCATCATGTTCCGCCCGACAGTCTCTTGCGGCTGATAATCATCCGAAATGCCCAAAAAGAACAAGACTCGGCGAGAATTCAACGTCCACGCAATATCGAGCCAATGAAAATTTAATAATAATTTCGATAACGGATTTTCTCAAGCCGTCTTCTGACGTCCCTCCGCAAAATGGTGAATGATTCAGTCAGTGATGGTCCAATATTTTACCAAGCCAGTGTAGTGGCGCTTTCCTTACAGTAAGCAGTAACTTTGACAGACTCAGACTTTATAAAATGGCTGTCTGCTGCTGCGCTTCGTTGCGCCCCAGCAATCTCGACGTCTCGCAATCCCCACGCATAAACAATGCAGTCCTACCTCCAGTATCGACGCATTGGCTTGGCGGTGCAGCGGCAGCTGGAAAGAGACCAGGAGAAGACTCTGGCTGCACCAGACATTTGTGTGAAAGATGATCTCCCGCAAAGACAATCAATTCCCCTATCAGACGACCAAGATCTAGCAGCACATCGCCCATCACACAATCGAAACTCGGCTGACTCCAATGAAGCGAGCCTCCATGGGGATCAGGATCACGATGGTAGCCTCACAACGATCCCAACGCGCCATTCGCAACGGACGGCGCTGGGCCATGCCTTGACGGGCATCCACGCACGGGATAGGACAACGAGGGAAGGCAAGGGCTCCAAGGTCTTCGTGGTCGGTTGGGAGGGCGAGGATGACCCATTGAATCCGCGCAACTACAGCACGATAACTCGAGTCGGGTTGACCTTGGTTCTTGCTTCGATTTCGTTCGTCGTGACCGCAGCATCTTCCATCGACACAGCTATCATACCTCAGGCTGCTGCTGAATTCGGAGTCAGCGAGGTGGTGGAGTCTCTAGCAACTGGTATGTGCAACCCATTTGGAAGCCAATGAATGGATATCTAATAAGTACTGTTTGTAGGCATTTACCTTGCTGGTTTTGCAGCTGGTGCAGTGTTTGCTGGGCCCTTTTCAGAAACTTTCGGTCGCAATCTTGTGTACATTGTTACCCTGTTAGGATTCATGATCTTCATAATGGCATCGGCACTTTCACCAAACATCGGGGCACAACTCGCATTCAGGTTTATTGCTGGATTTTTTGGTTCGACTCCTCTGACATGCGCCGGCGGTTCGATCTCCGATCTGTGGGATCCGCTCGAGAAGACTTATGGCTTCCCGAACTTTGCCATTGCCGGCTTTGGTGGCCCGGTATTAGGCCCAGTGGTGGGCTCCTATATAGGGGTTGGGGACATTCCGAGCTGGCGCTGGACAGAATGGATCATGCTCATCGCCGGGGGTCTGGTGCTAACTCTTATCATCCTTTTCCAAAGGGAGACATATCCACCGCTCCTACTGAAATGGAAAGCGCAGCACTTCCGCAGAATCACGGGCGACGATCGATTCAGGTCTGAGATAGAAATCACCAAGACGACACTATGGTCACGACTGAAGATCGCACTGCAACGCCCCTTCCTGCTCACCGGCGAACCAATCGTCCTCCTGATGGCACTCTACCTCACGGTTTTGTACATCATCCTCTTCACGTTCCTGGACGGGTACACGTTTATCTTCAGTGATACCTACGGAACTAACCAAGGTCTGACGAACGTGATCTTCGTGGCTATGTTCGTGGGGATCGCGCTCGCTCTGCTATTAGTGCCTTTCGTGTACAAGAAGACGAAGCAGAACCTCGAGAGCAATCGATCTGAGAAGGGCACGCATATCCACCCGGAGGTACGATTGTGGTATGCGATGCTGGGCGGTGCCCCTGCAATCCCCATCTCATTGTTCTGGATGGGATGGACTGCATACGTGAGTTCTCCAAATCAAGCTTCCTCGAATCCTCGCAATGACTGACCCTTTATAGCCCTCCGTTAGCATTTGGTCTCCGATTATTGCCTCGACCGTCTTTGGGTACGGACTGATATGCATTTTCCTTAGTTCTTACATGTACATCATTGACGCGTACGAGATCTATGCCGCATCCGCACTTACCTTCGTCACGGTCACGAGATACCTAGCGGCGGCGGGTATGACTGTTGTTGGGATCCCGTTTTATAAAAACGTTGGAGTGCACTGGACGCTGACGATCCTTGCCTGCATCAGCTTATTACTAACGCCTATCCCATACGTCTTGTACAAGTATGGCTATCTGATTCGACGGCGGAGTAAATATGCTGTTGATACAGCATGATTTAGATGGTATAAGGCAAATAGGGAGGGAGGACAGATCAAAAGCTTGGGGCGTAAGAGTGGTCATCAGGCGTCTTTAGAGGAACTCCATAGAATCAAAAAGTCATTTTAGCGGACAGTGTTAGACTGTTATAAATCATAATTATTAGGCAATTATCTCATATACATGCAACGCCTTAAGCATAATATCCAGCAAAGTCGACGGAATCCAGGTCTCTTTTAAGCTGCTCACTAACTAAATATATATAATATTACACGCACAATATGTGCCTCTACATACAATTGGCAAACTCCACATTCACGGAATTAATTCATTAGTCCCTCTTACTTATCTCAAACATTGCTCAATTGTCCGCATAGCTCTAAATGAGCCGATAGAAAATCACACATACAAAAAAGATGACACCGAAGACACATGAAACACAGTTAAGAAAAGTAAAGGTAGAGGAAGACCGCGTATTTATTTTGGGATTTTTCGGGGAGGGGGGGGGGGTCACGTGTCGATATTAGACAACAACTGGAATGTACCTCAACTCGACTGTGAGTCTATATTTGGGTGCAGGTAATAAGCTGTCTAGGGATGCGAATTCAAAAATCTTTGCCCGCCCAGATTCATCTCCTACGATAAGTACATAATGTACATTTCTATTATCTATTGGGAGCCGAACTTCCTACATGCGGCTCTGCAATCTAGTGGGAGCCAAAAGGATTCTATCTACCGCAATGCTGGTGAATACCTAAAATTGTGTAGATCACATGGTTCCTGATCAAGATATGCGTCGGATGAGCCGGGTTTGAGACTTGGCGACCCTCCATCGGTCTTCAAATATCGACAATCCTCTGCATATAACAGAGTAGGGAGAGACTGATGGCTCTTGGAAATGTCTGTTCCCAGGCAAGCCGCGTGGTGATGGGTGCGTAGTCATCAATGTGCAGAGTTCTCTCAATGTCGCGATGGCTGTAGTGCTTGCTTGTAAAAATGGTTTGGGTTAGGGTTAGTTTGGCTTATTCAAATTCGCTCCTCATGAAGGCAGAACATGAATCGCCATAGCTCTCGAGGACCTCACTATCAAAGATAGCGACCACATGATTATGCAGAGTTCCACTGTCACCACTTGTATTCACATGGAAGTATGGCAAAAGTCCGCACGCATCACGTGAGTTGGGTCACTCTCTTCAAGGGGCCTTCCGAGGTCGTTTACCATGTCCCTGGTTGAATACAGTAAGAACTTGTATCCAACGCGAATAACCATCAACCGCCACATCTATATAATGTCAGCAACCCGTAGGACGCGGTAGAACATCAATTGGGAGTTATAGTATCAGTGTGGAGCGGTGTTGGATGTTTCGTAGTCATGGCTAGCGTGGAATAAAAATCCGCGAATCGTTCTAACATAGAGTTCCGGGTCTGAAATATCTTGCATCAGCTCAATTATTGCGATAGAAGGACGAAAGGTTTCGAGTAGTTACCAGGTGATCTGCAACGTTTCTACAACCTGTGGCGCTGATATTGTAATCCAACTGACCAACAACGCCGACATACTCTGAGCAAAATCGAGCTGAGCTTTGATCGCGCAAGGTCGCCTCCATGGTATGTGTTCCGACCCAAGAGCCCATCACTCTCGTGTGTATCTTTACGAGGAAATGCTCCAGCTGTTCTTTATTGGAGCTCGAGGCCTTCGCGCACTGCGGATTGCGAAGGGAACTGCGGACAGTCGGAAGCCATGATGTATTTGGCCGTGCGGTCTTTGAGCATAGCAGATCGTGAAACTATGGCATTGGTATAGGTAATGATGTTGACCGGTGTTTACAAAAATCTTGTTTTAGTTCCCGTTTTCGTAGTTGTTTGCCGTTTTGTCGTTTCGTTGTTCCGTTGTCTCGTTGTTTCGTGGTTGATGTTGATTTCATGGGGAGCTCGAGGAGTCGCAAAGTCAAAGGTCGGCTAGGTCGGATTTGGATTGGTCACGTGACCTTATCGATAAGAATAGAATGTGAAGTACACGTAAATGGATGGATAATATAGGTAGATAAATAGGTAGGTACTGGCCTCTCTTCTTTTAGTTATTCTTTTAGCTCTGTTCTTTTGATTCTGCCTGCGCTTGTCAACTCTTCTCTTCCAACTATTGTCTGATTGAACCAATATTCATTTGTTCTTCTGTCTTTTAAAGCAGAGTTCTTGAACCTGCTGTACTCTTCAGGTACGCTGCCTCTTTGGGCTTAGCGCACCAGCTTCGGCCCCTCGTTTACGAGGTACCTTACCTTATCTGAGCCGCTGCCTTTTAACAACGTCTGCCTTCTTGAAGTACAAACAAAGAACAAAGAACTTCCTCGTCCCCCATTCTACTTCATCCTCCACTTATTCCAGCATGTCAGCTCTACTCTCTGGTATTGGCCGCAGCCTCAATCTCTGAGCTATGGGCCCCTTTGCTTTTTCTCCTCCAAGCCTCCAGTCACTGATGATGACTGCAGCACCAATGTAAGTGCATTCTAGCCGTTTTATTCCTATATAGCTGACTATGTCAGCTGTAGTACAGCCATAGATCAAGACCGTATTGCGTGAGCAACACCTTTAGGAACTGCTAGCCTCAATTGCTTTCCTCTGCCCGGTGCCCATCGCGATTGAAGCAGTGCCATCGCCGCCATTGGGTAGTCTGCGAGTATTAGGCTCCCATGGACCAAATAACTGGTCAATCAGGCGGTCCTGAGCATTTGCACGGATGTTTTTTGGCTGAATTACAATCGGATTTGGCCCAGTCTCTCCAAGGGGAAGTACAACATAGTCATACCAGTACGATCCGAGCCCGACAATCCAATACTTCCGATCTTCGGCGGCCAAGCTCTTCTTCGCGTTCTCCAAGGTAACTAAACTTGCATCAAGATCCCCGATTCTAAACAAGGCTTGTGCGATGGAGTAGAGGAAGATACCGTGGGTGCAGCCCTTGTTCCATCCCGCGGCCTCCACGATTCCAAGTGCACGGTTCCAGCGAACAAGAGCATCATCCCAATTCCCTTCTAGGTGAGATATTCTCGCCAATCCAGCCCAAACGCGGAAGTGACCGGTATTTTGCAGTATATCTGGCTCAGCAATTGCCTCGAACATGGGAATGAGCTTCAGTAAGCATTCCTCGGCTTGTTTGAAGAATCCACGTCGGATAAAAGTCTCAATGAGCGCGAGTTGTAGTCGTCGACCATTGCTGATGTTCTCCCATCCACTTTCATATATGATTCCCAGTTCAGCTTCAAGCACCGCTTCAGCGTCGTCTGGTCTTCCCACTTCGCAGTAACAGTCGGCGAGATTCGAGAACATGACCATCTGCCAACCGGTGCTGACATTGTAGTCACGAAAGGAAAGTTCCTTGAATAGTCTCTGGAAGTAGGGTAAGGCCTCATTGAACCGACCTTGGTTCTTGAGCAATCTGCCCAACATCACGTTACGGCTTTGCAAAACCATCCTTTCCATGGTCGAGGGAGCTTCGATATTCAGCGGTTGCCATGCTTGCAGTTCCGATTTCGCGCGTGCAAGATCATTATCCCGCATTAGATTCTCCGACAGCGAGATGACTAGGTCGCCTTGCTGGGCGTTCCATCTGGCATCGGAATCCAACTCTTTATCGAAAATTTTGCTGTGAAGGCATTCTTCAAGTGCTCTGTAGGAACCCGCGACTTCGCCTCGCAGGCGGAGAATGGAACTTTCTCGATGAACTGCCCATGCTTTCAGATAGCTATCGCATTCATTCATGAGAAGGGCATTAACCCTGCGAATTGAGTCTTGTTTCCATGCATTGTCGTGAAACTTCGAAGCGGAAAGCAGCAGCACGCAGACGGCTCGTTTCACTAATGAATATTGCTCACAGTCACGGTCCACGCAATCAAACTCCTTTAGAATGCGTGGCACGTGAGGGAAGATTTCGCGCCCGATATTGCCGAAACTATGAATTTCTATTAGCTGCAGGTTAGGATAGAATTGTGATTTACTTACTCCTCGTCTATGTAGACGTTAAAAGGGAAAGCATGAGCAACCAACAATACTGCTTGAGCTTGCCATCTCTGCCGCGTCGTATCATCGACTCGATGAGCGGCACAATGTTGAACAAGAGGGTGGATCGAGAATACCCTTCTTCCATGTCGGACATTGTTACGTTGGATCAACGAGAAGGCTAGTAACTGCTCTATTGCTTCATCAAATTGCATCTCGTTGTTAACGAGGTCAATAATTTCCAAGTCCAGCCCTGCATCCTTGGGAGCGAGCTCGGTAATCTCACCGTCGCGATCCCAGATTCTCTTAGTCGAGCACCCTCTATTGAGCATCGTCTCAGGTATATCGCCAGCCTCGAGAAACGAGAATAGCAGGAGCAGATGCGATGCCTTCGGAGATTCTCGCTCGAGTTGACGGAAGTTAAGTTCCCAGACCGTGGCAACAGTTTTTTCATAATCGCCTATTCCGGGCGTGACATTAAGAACCTCGTATTGTTGTTCGTCAAATAGTCGTCTATAATCTTTCAACGACTTCTGCCGTCTTCGGATGAAAGCACCTGCTTGCTCGATGGCTAAGGGAAGACACCCTAATAGGTTCGTTATGGTCCTCGCCTGCTTCACATCGTCGGCAGAGGGGGAGTTCATAGCTGATTTCTCTAGAAGCAGTCCGATTGCAGCATCTTCGCCGAGGGGCTCCATAGCGTGCCCCCTAGGAGCAACCAGACCAACGACAGCATTGTCCCGACTTGTGATGATGATGTGGCCCCAAGACGTGTTCGGTATGTACTTGGAAAGTCTTATTGATTCCAAATCATCCGCCCCATCGAAGATCATGAGCCACTCGCTATTATTCGGCTTTGAGAACCACCTTTTGAGGAAGTCTACTTTGTTCGAAGCACTGCCTAGGCCTAGAAGGTCATATATACGATAGAAGTCAGCAATCAGGGTCGTAGTCGAGCTTGCATTAAAGAAGACGATGCCGGATTTGTATTTGAACCGGTTGCGAAAAGCATATTGTAATGCAGTCTGAGTCTTGCCAGAACCTCCTGCATCTACATCAGCAGTCGTCGTTAGAAGTATGAAGAATAAGGGACAGTACCGAGACCTGTTATTGCATAGACTAACTGATCACAGGGGCTTGATGGATTGAAGTATCTCTCCATTTCTTCTAGGACTTCTTGTCTCCCTCGAAAGGAGCTGCATCGAGCATATGGTACTTCAAAGATTGGCTCCAGAGCAGTTTGGGCAATTAACGGAATTTGAGTCTCGGGTTTTGAAGCCGTGAGTTTGTCACTGATATCCTGGCTGAGCTTTTGTAGACGCATAACCACAGGTCTATAATTCCGGTCATCGATGGACGAAAAACGAGCAATTTCTTGGTGATCAGCAAATTGTCCGATGGCTACCTCGTTAGGCACATTGAGCACCGCTGAGCGTTGTTCGACCACCTGAGATCGCTGTCAGACGTATCGGCTTGAAAATCACTTGCGGGTTCATACCAAGCGTCTGAAAATAACAAAAGTGGTCATCTTCATTTCGAAGAATGACACAATTTGTAGCCTTGAGACTTTCTCAACAAAGTCCTCTGTGATTTCGAACAGTATTTCTGAGTCCTTTTTTAGATGGCTCAACAGTCCTCGAGCAGGTCTCAATGGAGAACAAGCGGCAACGATGTTGGCTATCACTCTTCCGCTGTTAGCAGCACTGCTTCCGCTGTGTGGCGTTGCTATAATTCTTAGTGGATATGCTTCGAATTTAGGCGCTTGACATACCTAAGAATATGATTCCAAAGGTGGCATTCTGGACTCTGGCCTGTTCTTCAGGGCACCGAATTAGGAGAGCCTGTAGAAAGTCAGAGACGCCGAGCTTTATGGAATGAGACTGCATATCTTCTTTACAACGATGCCTCCAAGGCTATGAGCGACGAAAACAAGTGGCCTGTTGCGCTCCTGACATGACCAGTCAGATATATCAAACTAGTGTTTGTTATGATGGTGTACCTCTTCTGTCCGTCGCAAATCAACCAGCTCGGAAAGTAGTTTCATAGAAATATTTCTTAAGTCCTGTTGGGCCGTGAAGTTGCGGAACTTGGCATTGTAACCATATGTCATGATACGGACATTAGGTAATTCTTGCGGAAGCAAATCCCGTAACCACATCACTTTGCTCTGCTTGTGAGTCCATGTGTCAAGCGCATCCCCATTGAGTCCATGAACGGCCACGAGAATAGAGAACCGTCAGCCCTCTGCCGAAACTCTCGAGGCGGGATCTTACTCGAATAGAACATTTTTGGGGTCGTCCGGCTCATGCAGTTTAGTAATACCATATCTAACCGCAGTATCCATGGTGCGACCAAGGTTTTCTCGGGTTGCGAGCGAAGAGCAGAACAAGATACACCTTGGTTATGGGAATAATTGGCGCACGATTTCAGATGCCCCCGGGCTCTCTTGATCACGACAGTAAGTCTTGACTGTGATGCCATTCCTTCCACCCTCACTTGCTTGCTCTGACCTTCAAATAAGAAGCAGCTGAACTGAGCGCCAAGGCGCCGCAGATGCCTGAATGAATGGGGGGGTGCGGGGGTTGGATTATCTGCCAATGAGGATGAATAATCCAAGCTGTCCATGCCCATGACCATGCCACTCCACGCCCGACCTCAGTGGTGATGGGGAACCAGGGAGGCTGACAGCCTTGAAGTATTGTAGTGGAGGTGTGTGAAGACTCTTCCGTTTTAGCCGTCCCGCATCAATGTGCCATCCATCGATGGACGAGCAGCCACGGCCCACGCCAGCCTTGTGATTTCTATTTTCGTGCCCAAGTTGCTGAGGCTCGCAGCCTGACGGATTTGATTGGTATCTATACGAACTGACATGGACGAATAAGCAGAAATGTACTGAGTACCTTGTTCTCGACAATTCGCCTGCTCGAACTTATGGACATATGCTTTGAAGTTTGGGCCTTCATTGTTGTCGCATCACCCACAGGCGATTTCGGACAGCAAATGACATAATTACAACATCAATATATTTCCTCAAAAAAACGATGCGTTCGGGGCTTTTTGCAACTGGCAGCTCCCTTTGCACGGTGTTTCGAAGATATACTCATTCGTACGTCAGTCGTGGTGCGACAATTGCAATGGAGGGCACAGTGGAGGCCCCAACCTACCAGGCAAGATGACTTGAATCATTAGGATGACTGATATGGTCGCTGACGTGGAAGAAGGATGCGATTCATCGTTTGAACTCGACGCAGAGTGGCTTCAAGGCATTAGAAGAGCGGAGAAGCAAAGGAGTGAAGCTCAATAGCTCCTCTAAAGAGGAAATGCGACAGTGGATCCGTCGCCTCGGCTATAAGGTACCAGCACCCAACAACAGAGTGAGAGAAGTACCCCAGCTTATCTACGATAACTTGTCCAGGTCAGCGATTTAGACCGTCTTAATATCGTTCACGTTGCCGGAACGAAAGGGAAAGGCACAACCTGTGCTTTCGTGAACTCCATCCTTCAGCGCTATCAGTACACGACTGGATTACCCCGCAAAGTCGGACTGTATACATCTCCTCACCTGGCGGCTGTGCGGGAGAGAATACGGATCAATTCCGAGCCCATCTCTGAGGAGCAATTTACGAAATACTTCTTTGAAGTATGGGATGCTCTCGAGTCTACAGCGCGGGAAGAGGGCATCGATCCCGCCCTCAAGCCTAGTTACTTTCGGTATCTGACATTGATGTCATTTCACATTTTCATGCGAGAGGGTGTTGATGCTGCGGTCTACGAGGTCGGAGTAGGAGGTGAACTGGACTCAACAAATGTTATCAAGCGGCCAATAGTTACTGGCATCACCACCCTTGGCATTGACCATGTCGATGCACTTGGTGATACTATCGGCAAGATTGCATGGCACAAAGCGGGCATCTTCAAGTCTGGGTCACCAGCCTTCTCTGTCCGACAACTCCCGGAAGCGACACAGGTTCTTGAAGAAAGAGCCAAGGAGAAAGAAGTGAGTCTCACTATTATTGAGGACAATCCTGCTCTTGCACATGTCGCCATCAAACCAGCCGAGGATTTCCAGAGGAAGAATGCCTCGCTAGCGATCGTGCTCTCGCAGGTTCTCCTAGATAGGCTTGCAGTTCCAACAGATCATGAACTGGGTAGTCTGCCTAAACAGTTTGTCGAGGGCCTTGAAAGCGTGGTTTGGAGAGGCAGGTGTGAGAGTAAAGTGACTGGGAAGCAGCTTTGGCATCTCGATGGTGCGCACACGCAGGAGAGCCTGGAAGTAGCATGTTCGTGGTTTGGGCGCGTTTCACAAGACAGGTTTGCCACATCTATTCTTTCGCTGAGTATTTTCCGTCCTTTCTACGTGTGATGACACCGATGTTTTAGGGACATACCTTGCGCGCTCGTATTCAATCAACAATCCACGAGAGATGCCGTCTCTTTGGTCAAAACTATCCACCACACCATCTATGATAATTTCAAGCTAAGATTCCGGTACGTTGTCTTCTGCACCAATATCACATACAAAGGAGATTTGTGGAAAGTCGGTACGTTACGAATCTCATCACGATCTGTGGTAGGAGGCAATGGCTAATTACAGGGAGGAGTACAAGACCTCGAGAATAGAAATGTTGACCCAACAACATTAAAGAGCCTGACCTTGCAAAATGAATTGGCAGGCGTTTGGCATGAGTTGGACCCAGATGCAGAAGTTGTAGCGCTCCCATCGATTGAAGATGCTATAGAGTATATCAGACACATCAAAGGAGGAGCCGAAGAGATTAGCGTTCTCGTCACAGGCAGCTTCCACCTTGTTGGCGGCGCATTGTCAGTCCTTGAGGGTGATAACTTTGCACTGGCGAATTCTACCGGGGAATAATGTACTATGGTTTCAGAGAGCTACAGCCTGTCAGAAGCTTAACCGATCGTAGCTCTTCTACAATCAGGAGTTAGGGCATATAGGCAATCTCGTGCTTAATACGTTACAATTGAGGGATCGGCCTGGTCGCTGTGCTCAAGCTCTGACTTGACATGCCGGTGCCGTAACGGTCGTTATTTACGTTCAAAGTATGGAACGGACAGAGGGCTCAGTCTCTTGTAAAGTAACATGTATGTTGGAAGGCTGTCTATCATAATAACCTAGGTGTCTCATTATAAGGGATAGTAGTTCTCTAGTATGAACTGCAATCTACTATAATTCGTCTTATTATAGACTAGTTAAGTAAGACGTCTAATCCCACCAATCCCTTGCGACCTATGGATTTCAAGCTACCTTGTTCTGGAGTTGCTTTTCATGAGATTGAGTGACGCCTGAGTCCACCTTGATGTCTGCTGTGATACTGGTTGTACTTTCTACATTCTTTCCATATATCTGCAACAAATCGATAAGTTTCCGAAGTCTGAGAACTAACATCGAGGAGAAAAAAAAAAACCACTTACAGGTGCTCGGTGATACTGATCCACCCATGATACTTTCGTACCAACTTCATTCGCGACTCGGTGCACGAAATTGGGATCGCGCAGGAACTCACGCGCGATCGAGATGGCATCAGCTTTACCTGAGCGAAGAATCTAACCCTCCTCTATCAGTATAACATATCCTATGAAGGAAGGTTCGCCTAGACATTTACCTCTTCAACCGTCTTTCCGTCCCTGATCCAGCCCACAGCGCCTACAACCAAGCCCGGCGTAGATTTCTTAACGGCTTCTGCAAACGGTACTTGATAAGCTGGGGAGATTTGGACTTTTTGATTCCTGTCATTCCCGCCACTAGACACGTCCAAGAAATCTACGCCTTCTTTGTGCAGGATCGGCGCGTATCGGATCGTGTCTTCGAGTTCCCAACCTTCGCCGGGTGGAAGCCAGTCTACGGCTGAGATCTTCCAGAATAGGAGGCAGTCGGCGGGGATGTTTCGGCGGATACAGCGGATGATCTCGATGCCGAATCGGACGCGATTTTCAAAACTTCCACCCCATTTGTCTGTCCGCTTGTTTGACTAACAACACACACAGTGTCAGTTATACCATTGATAAAGAGCATATTGGTGGAGTCTGGAGACAACATACTGCAGGGCTTGCAAAAGAGTGTATCAAATATCCATGTGCACCATGAACCGCGATGATTTTAATCCCAGCCTTGACTGCCCTAGCAGCCGCAGCACCAAAAGCTTCAATAACTTCCCAAATCTCAGCTTCCGTCATCTCCTTCGGGGTCGAGTAATTCTCATTCCATGGGTTCGGGCTGGGTCCTTTCACCGTCGCTCCGCAACCACCGTATTCCTCGGGGACGGTCTTCAAGCCTAACCATGGGGGCGTTACGCCGGATTTGCGGCCTGCGTGTTGGAGTTGAATGGCAGCGTGTTGGGATTGAGAGTGGATGACGTCTACTACGCGCTTTAAGGGGGGGATCTGTTCATCGGACCAGAGTCCACTGTCTTGTGGTGTATTGAGGCCCTTTGCAGAACAAAACGGTCAATACTACAAAAAAAAACTTGTATAGGAGGAGGGGGACGCTGAAGAACACGCACCCATGGTACAACAGCCGTAGCTTCAATTGTAATAAGCGGCACCCCCCGAATAGCATACTGTCCATAATGCGCAACGTGGAAATCCGACAACATCCCATCTTTACAACTGTAGAGACACATAGGCGCTAAGAAGATGCGGTTCTGAAACACGGTATTTCGAATCTTGAGAGGCTTGAACACAGGTGATATTGTATCCTCCGTGATTCCATTTTCTTCGTCGAGAATGGCGGTACCGCAGGGGAGGGTTTGTTGAGGCGTGAAGAAGGAAATCCCGGGTGCGGGGGTGCTTCGGTAGCTGGAATATCCTCCGTCGTCGTCGGGAACTTTGCTCGGCATTGCGAATTCGGGTCGATGAGACTGGTGGTGGTGGGATGGGGGATGTGGGAGGTTTGGATCTGGTGCCAGGGGACAGAGGATATTATCTTTCACAGATTTTGATTTTCGCATTTGCACGAATATAAGAGAGTAAGTAAGGTGGATACAGTGGGGGAGATTCCGGGGAGTGGGGGAAGATCTGGGGAGGCTCTGCTCATCATAGCCTGATTGGCTATTTCTTGCCTATCGGTGCTTATCGCCGTTAATCGTTATCTTTATCGCCCGATAGCTGTCTACTAGATATATATATCATAGCTCGATAATTCCGGATTAGGCAATGCTTTCCGGAATATTCATCGTCTGGAAGACAGCGTACGATATTCTAGAACAACAAGAACAACAACCAGGCGACTTTAATGTTGCGAGGAGAGAGCGGAATATCAAGAGTCTGTCTCAAAAATTGTAGTGAACATCGAGTACCTACCTAGTTATGGCAACATGAGGTAGGCAGAGAATGAATACTGTGTGTAGTTGGAACAGTTACATTGATCAAAGATAGAATCTAAGAAGCTCCCGTGAGGATTATATTGGACTATTTTATATATTATTGTATTAGTATTCTTCTATCTCTGTTTAGTTTAGGTCCTTACATCCATTAGACTAGTAACTTTATATTGTTAAGTCTACCTTTTTAGTCAAACAGTGTTGTCTTAATTAATCTGGGTCCTCACGTATTAATCCAGTTTATGGAATTTAGACAACTCGCCAAGAGTGACGTATAGGTAGCTATCATGTACACATTATATTCATGACTACCTACCTACCTTACCTAGCTCTTGATAAGTAGGACTGTAGGAGTAAAACTAGTTAGATTTAAACATCACATGCCTGAATTCCTGTTACTTTATCAACCTCATCCCTATCCATCTATACTCCCCTTGTTATATCGCGTGGTTAAAAGTTGATTCCCATCTCCAAGGCCCAGGGGTAGAACGCTCCTACAGACGAAGAGCCCTGCACCTTAGGGGAATGATTGGCTAGTCGTCATCTGTTGACTGGATGAGATCTCCTCAGCCTTGGCTTTCAGCTCGTCGACGTCCCAGTTTGCCCAGACTAGTTTGCCTTTGAGGAAGGCGGCCTCGGGGCTCGCGAGCCAGAGGATGAAGTGTGCGGGGAGTTGAACTGGAGGGTATGTAAGTGTTACTGATTATTCGACGGGAGGGAGAGAAAAGGATGATAAAGAGACGCAAAAAAAAACTAACCTTTGTCCATCGGCAGCGCCTCGGCCTTAGCGCCGCTCTTCGTAAATACCGCAGTCTCGACCATTCCCGGATGCACGCTCGCCACGAAAACATTCGGGTTCTCAGCAGCTAGGAACTCGAGTAGTTTGACTTGAGCTAGCTTGGAGCTGATGTATGCGGAGAGTCCGGGGAGCATGACGGTCGGGAGGCTGACGGTGCCGGTGGTGAGACCGAGGAGGGCAGCATGGGTGGGGTTGGCGGTAGGGAGGAACACGTTGGCGGCTGTCATGGTGCCTTTGACGTTGGTCTGATGAGTGATGGAGAGAAGAGTCAGTCAGGAAGAAGAGAAGAAGAAGAAGAAGAAGGGAACAATCCTCCGCACCTCGAAAGTCTGCCACCAGTCGTCTACTGAGGACTGGGCAACAGGAGCTGGGCTTGCGACGTATGCTGCGCCGATGACCAGCACGTCCCAGGTGCCTACCGCAGCAGCGACGCCCTTCAGCGCCTTTTCATCCGTGATGCTGACGGCGTGGACCGAGACATCGGCGCTGTGCGATGCCAGACCGGCTTTGGTCTCGAGGAGCGCGGATTCCGTACGGCCCAGGAGAGCGATCTTGCTGGCGCCGGCGAGAGCGAAAGCTGAGGCGGTTTCACGACCGATGCCACTGCCCTGTGATGGTGATGTTAGTGTTGTGATCCTGGAGGAGGAAAGGAGTGTAACTGACGGCGCCGATGATTACGATCGTCTTCCCAGCGACGCTGAGTTCTGGGCGCGAAGGAGAGATGGCATCGTATGTGTCGTTGTGCCAGTTGGAGACGGGAGCGGGGAAGGGGGGCTGCATGATGGGTGATGGATAAGAGACGAGATAGGGATTGATTGATTTATAGAACGATTGAATGATTGATCGACTGATCAAGTGTATCTTTTATCTTTTCTATCTTCCTCTTCTCTTCATGCTTTTGTATGTCAGGAGCTGCGGTGGGGAAGATGCAGATGCAGTTGGTTTTGAATCCCTTGCCGCTTTATCAACATGTTGGCGCATAACCCACTCTGCATATGTTGGAGAATCCTGCATTACCACCTCAGGTAAGACAAGACAAGGTAAGGTAAGGTAAGGGATAACGATGTGGATTATTATTGCATTAATCATTGATTACTATTATTATTTCCTTATTTATTCAATTATAAGATATAAGATAAGCCCTACGGACACCCCGCACTAACCACAACGGATATATCGCGCAGTTCGTGAGGGGCACAGCTGGGCAATGCAAAATATACGGGGCGCTGATCGCGGATCGCGACATTTACCTTAGGCACGTTGGTCGATATGGTTTTGACTCGCTCATCATAATTCGTATATCTCAAATGCTGTTTAAACAAACCCATTGCCTCAGATTATATACTCCGTAGATAATGTATATCATATTCCCCGACCAAAGAAATCCATCCATCTGTAAGACAAGACAAGTCCTTAACGCAGCTAGCCCATAAAAGGACGCACGTATAAATACATGGTATTATTGCAATCTACCTTAACCAACCAACCGCTCAAAGAAGAAAGCTCCAAAAATAAAATCTCGTATCCAGTTCATTCATAAATCCATTACTTTACTATCATGGATGCGTCAGCGGCGTTTCGCTCTCAAAAACGTGGATCTGATGCGTAACGCCAATAGCATTCGGCTTCTGTATCCACGATTTCGCGCTGTCGCTCGCAGATCCCTGCCGGCTGACGGCCTCGGCCGTGGTATAGAGGTTTCCTTCTTCGAGCTCGAGGTAGCTGTCGGCGTCGAGCTTGCCGTAAGTCTTCCAGTGGTAGGCCCGTTTCGTGGAGCCCCCGCCGATGGTCTGCTGGGCTTCGCGGAGACGCTTTTCCCCCGTCCGCTTCGATGCTCCCGTCGCCCGTGTTACTACCGGGCGGACGTATCTCGCAAAGAGAGGCGCGAGCGTGGGGATGCAGATGACGATCATACTGAGCCATAGTTCGAGGAAACTCACGAGCCCGACATCTCGAAGTCCGTAGACGAAGTCGGCGTTGGTGGCTGATTTGGTGGTGATTTGGAGTCGCCATGCCATGATGCCGACAACCCTGTTGAGGCCGAGTTAGCAACTGAAAGGATGGGACAGATATCATATTTGAGAGCTCGGCTTACAAGAGACCCATGCCAAACATGACGGTGATGGTGATCTTGTTCCTGGCTGACATCCGAAGCTGCCACAGCCACGGCATCGGTAGGAGCGCAATCAGGGTATCCATAACCATGTTCAAGGAAATCGAAGCCAGCTCCTCGATCTTCAGGTCCCTACAATGCCCGCCGGGAACGGGGTGCCATTCCTGAGAGATGGGTTGGCAGTTGGTGAGGAAGACGCAGAGGAAGGCGATTCCGTAGCCTCCGACAACGGCCATCAAGGCCCATGCTGCGTACTTGAATTTTTGGGTTGTGAAGAGGGTTGTGTACAACCAGAGGACGGACAGCTTGCAGAAGACGGTGCCGAGCAACCAAGTAACGCCGGATACCACGATGAGCTAGTTCGCACTTCGAGTCAGTACAACTTTCCTGATATAATTACAATGTCTCTTGCTCTTACCTTGAATTGCACTCCGAGCTCATAGTTACTCAGCTCTGATGTGTGCGCACCCAGACCATTCGCGATCGCCCACCATGTAGCACCCGCCAACGTGAGCGTAGAGATCTAGATTTCTCATCAGCATGGGCGCGAAAAGAGAGAGAGATACACATCTTGCTCACATATGCGAAAAACACCATATAATCATCGGGGCGAAAGGCCCTCTTGGTGAGTCGAATGGCCCAGAGCCGCAAGCCGATGACTATCGAGGTGAGGACGGTAAAGACAGCGATCCACACGGCCAGCGTGATGCCGCCGCGACTGAGCAACATTTTGGCAGAGAGCGGAGAGCAGCGAGTAGCGATGCCACTCCTGCAGATATAGAACAGAGGGAGCAAGAATAAACAAGAGGGAGAGATATAAGATGAGAGAGCAGAATGGGTTTGTCTGCGTAAGGTAGGTAGGGAAGAGGAAAGTCGGTGATTATGAGCTACTGTATGTAGGTATAGAAGGGGAGATTTTAGAACCCACGTTCTGACTGCCTTACTAGATCAATCAAGCCGGATGGCGTAGCATGCTACTCTGCGAATGTAGAGGCAGGAATAAACTGGGACAGGACAGGGCAGGACAGGACAAGACAAGACAAGACGAGACAAGGGAGGGGAGAGGGGATACACGTGCAAACGGGCAGTGTTCTAAAACCGTCAAGCCTACAGCGACGATTTGCAACTCCCCATGTAGCATCTGTGTCTGGGTGGTCATGCAGCGATGGATGGACTGCGCCGCTTGGGAGCATGCTGGGAACATATGATCATTGCCCTTGATTGCCAAACGCAGATACGAACGCGAGCGAGCCAATGAGAGAGCGGGGTTGAAGTGCAGACAAAGTGTGGGATGAGAGAGAGATTCTGATGGACTTTGAATGCACTTTCAAGACTCTGAATCCCCCCTCTGGATAATAGGTTTCTGGTTGACTCGACTCTACAACAAGAGGCCTTCAACTCGACAGTGAAAACAGCCGCGGCATAAGAACGTGGCTGGGCAACGAATGGGTCCGGACCGTCGATCGGGCCGAGGATTAGCCTTCGCGCGTAGTGGCGTTGCCGTCGACTACTGCACGAAAAGGCAACTCTATAAAGGATAAGGATAAGAATAAAGTAACTATTCTCGATAAAGAATAAGATACCTTTTACTTACCTTGAAAAAATAGATGAATACTACCTTACCCTAAGGTATCTATCTCTCCCCCTCCCATTCCCCAGGGTTTCACTCGCACAACGCCCATATCTCCACTCATCGAACAGCACGGCATTGACAAATCAAATCGGGAGCCATCGACTCTTCTAGCCCCTCTTTCTTCTCTTCGCATCAGGAACGAGACATCCATCCCACTGCACCGGAGTAGTACATGCCGAGTTGAAGAGCTCGTGCTTTGCCTTTGCCTTTGCTTTGCCACGCGCTGATCGACCTTTGTTGCAGGATACTACTGTACGGTATCATAATCATAATCATATCATGATTATCATGGTGTGACTTGGTAACGGTGTGCTTTGTCGATCTACCGCATTTACCTATCTATCCATCTATCTATCTATCTATCTATCTATCGGACAGGATGAATAGAGTGACGGCACAGTACTACCTTGGGTTGTAAATGCTACTTTAATCTGCGGGACTACTGTTTTATTATGGATGTGAGGCATCACTCGCATCGCATCACCATGATTCTAGGTAGGTACTTATTGCGAAATAATCAATCGTCTGTGTGTCAAGGATCTGACATCCCCCTTGTCACGCACGAACACCGAAGATAGGTATGCACTTATAGATACTACCTTACCTTACCTACCTTAATACTCCGCTGTTCTATAAGCATCAATCATGCTGGATACTACCTACCTACTCGATAAACCCCTGTTAGTATTACTACCTTACCTTACAGAAGAGTATAACGGGAGCATAATCTGAGAATAGTCTAAATTATGCAGAGGGGTCGGCATAACTTAAGGTTTGTGTAGGGGGGCTGTACACGTTGTGCCGCTGTGCGCGCGGCTAGATGGCTTCTTCTTCTGTGTGGAGTTGTACCAATTGATTGTACTGAATGTCTGTCTATACACGATACCATTGTACCATACCACGCTCGCTCAGATAACATAACCGAAAGAAGCAGCAGAACAGCGACACGCACACGCCAACAAATAAACAAGTCATAAATCATAATCAAATCATGAATTAGATCAATCCCAACATTACTGCTTCTCCCTCAGTTCAAACACTAAATGTAATTGTCCCGGGTTCGCGGTAAATTGGTCCCGCAAGTCGCCGAGCACGCCGTGCCCATCTTCACCTGTGGGGAAGCGGATGTGGTATTTGCTAACGAGGCGTGCTGTGACGAGGCGCATGTCGTCTGTGGCTAGGACTCGGCCGAGACAGCTGTGGTGGCCTTTTGCATTGATTAGTATAAGTTCAGATGGATGGATAGGATAACAAGCAGATGATATCTTACCGGTGCCAAAGGGCGCGTAGGCAGCCTTGTTACGGATCATCTCTGGCTTCTCGAACCATCGCTCTGGAAGGAATTCGTTACCGCGCTCGAAACAATCCTCTCCTACAGACAGACGACAAGTTTCGTTAGTTATCAGATAGTAGTAGTGCCAGGAAATTGCATATAAAAGGAAAACTCACGGCGCATGATAGAGTACCGCGGCGCCACAATGGTCGTGTACGGCGGGATATACGTCCCTCCAATAGTGACACCATGCTCCAGCGTTTTCCGATTGCCTCCTGTAGGAAGCACGGGATAGAATCGCAGCGCCTCGGAGATGACGGCCTCGAGATGCGGAGCACGAGATAGGGACCTCGCGTCGCGTATATCGAGACCTTGGATCTCATCGTAGATCTTCCGGGCGTGTGCTGGATTTCGAGCGAGTTCGCAGAAGATACCCAGAAGGACGGAGGCTGTTGGTTCGCTGGATTAGGTGTAAGTAAAGGAGGGGATTCCTTTAGTGGAGGGAATACTAGATTTCTACTTACCTTCCTGCTACTATGGCAAGCAAGCTATCACCATTCAACCACATCATGCTTTCCTTTCGGAAGTTGTTGGTTTTTGCATCTTCCATCAAGTAGTGCGCAACGTCTGGTACTCGTAGCTTGTCTTCCGGGACCTGCCAATCATTATTAGAATCTTTAGTCCAGCAAAAACAATATAGAATGAGAATCAAAGGGAAGATACCTGAAGTCGCTCATGCATCTGCTTCTCGCACCAGGCCACCATATCAAACCAATCCTTCAGGATCCAAACTCGAGGCATAAGCTTGAAGCCTATCTGAATAAGCCACGGAACCGCGCTGAACGGGCCTAGCAGAGACAACGCGCGCTGCAGCAAGACAATAATATGATGCCACTTCTGATCCTGCAGCATGTTGAAGGGCTTGTTGAAGACGAAGTCACCCATGGCGTCAAAGCCAAACCAGAAGAAGAGATTGCGCACGTCGGAGACCCGGTGCGCTGCTACATCTTGTTCGATGCATACGTCGAGCTGGTCGACGTACTTGAGGATCTTCTCCTCATACTGGGCAATTGCTAGAAAAGAATTCAGGACGTGGACACTAAATCTTCTTTCTCGGGATCATACTCACACTTGGTTGTAAAGCCTTGATTCCACTGACGACGGCGTGTCTGATGCAAGAACTTGTTGCGGGCCGTGACGAGTGACAAGTTTGGATCAAGAATATCATACCATTCAGATTTAACACATTCTGCCTTGGGACCGTCAATCACCCAGTAAACGTCCGGATGAAAGACAGTGACCTCGGTCGGTCCTGCGGGGCTGTCAGCAACGAACGATTCTCAGCGAAAGACCAAAGCGCTTCTTCTTCTTCCTTACCCGTGCGCACGAAATCGCCATATTTCCGATGCAAGCGGTCCAGGACAAGATGATTCTTGGACCCTCTGCACGCCCACATATGCCAGAGCTTTGTGATGCGCGCGCCCACGGGCCCAGCGAATCCAGCTCGTGCAAGCCGATTGAAGAAGAGCCGGTACACGGTGATGCTGGTGAACAGCGCGACGAGATAGCCCAGGATGGCGAAGCCAGGATAGCGAAATACGAATTTGCTCTCGAGCGTCAGCGTCCCTCCGGCGAAGGAGGAAGAGACGCTGCCGATGAACAGAGCCGCAAAGGCCAGAGAGTGGCCCACCACGATGGCCGGGGCCTGGACGTGCCACTCGCCGTGGATGTAGAAGCCGTGGTGCATGGCAAGACCAGCAATTGCGCCCAGACCGAACACAACGGCCCGGTTCGGCCTGAGGAGCTGGTCCCCGATGAATTCCAACACCGCCATAGGGATTGATTGAGCAGTGAGATGGATCTGGATCTTGCTGTTGAAGAAAGACAAGAGGAGCAGGAGGATGGCGGGGTGCAGCAGCTGCAGATGGGTAGACAGACAGACGAACCTCGATATACGAAGTAAGTACCTGCGGGGGGGATGTTTCTCCTTGGGATATTTCTGGACCCAAGGAGACGGATCAGAACATGATGGACTGACTGGCTGGCCCAGCTTAATAGAGAGAATCCCGTCCCTCGAACCGGAGAGCAAAAAGGCTTCCACACCCGTCGAGGACGACATCACCGGCAGGAAAACACGTTCCCAGAGCCGGGCAGCCAGCAGACAGCTAGCTCCACATGCTGAAAGGCACAGTAGCATCAATCAATCACACATTGTGGTCATTCACGTTTGTCTATCGTTGACGTTAGCATGGACAAGGTCAAGGTGTGGCATGGCATCAACGCAACGCACAGAGCATTTCACAAGCAAAGCGCCCCCCCTCCCCAGGCGGTGCCTTACAGCGCCCTAACCGCCCTTTCAAAAAAATATACTACTTTATCCAGCAAGCGATTCTCCGCATATTTTTGGATTAGAACAAGACCAAGACCAAGCAGGGGGTCAGTGCTATCCCACACTTCTGGACTGTGCCTCATGCTCTAAACTGGTCCGTCGGTGCCGAATGAGAAGCCCCTGCTGCATCTTTGGCCTTGCAGTACCAGCGGTCTTAGCTTGGCTGGGACAGCTTCTGACTGACCGAAAAACCCCACCGGCCCTCGAGCCTCGAGGGTTGCAATAAGGTCTGGATAAAGCAGAGTGGGGGGTTGGACGGGAAAGGAGGGGTTGGAGATAGGCGTTGAAAGGTAAGTCTCGATCACATTGTAAGGACGAGGTCTGGATATGGATATGGATCAATTTATTGAACTTCTAGATATATTTTCTAAGAAATGGTAACTACAGTGTGTATCGTAATCGACATTGACTCTCTCTAGATAGTAGTAAGTTCTTCCTCTATTGAATACCACAGCTAGGTACTATGAAATAAACCAAGACTCTCTCTAGATACTGCATTGACATCATGAACAATGAAATGGACCCGATCAAATTGACCCCGCTATATACTTCGTAGACGTCGTAACATAAACCTAGACCCCATCAAAATGACAAAACAACCCCCTCTCTAAACTTCATGAACATCATAACACGGAGTTGGACCGTTGGACCCTCAATTGACCCGACCAGGTTGAAGAATAGCCTGGAAGCGTAGGGCGACAGGCAGGAGATAGAGTGTTATCAACCACAGACACCACAATCGCCACACGCGGTCATCATCCTTCACGGCCCGTCGCATCAGAACGTGGAAAGCAATATAGACACCGAGCGTTACCACCTGCGCCGCTGGCAGAGCATATGCCCACGACGGAAGACCCCAGAAGAACACGCAGCAGCCAGACCAAGCGGTGACGAAGATGGCGATCGACCAGCGGGAAACGACGTCTCCGAAAAATAGAGGGATGGTCTTCCTCCCACGCCCCCGATCACCAGCTTGGTCTTTCAGATCTTGAATTTGCATCGTGGTAAGGATGACTCCGCTGATAATCGCGATCCAGGTGTAGCCATGCGGGGTGATTTCTGCGCCGGATCCCATGGCGATGATCAAGGAGGCGCTGTTGTACAGCCCGAATGCCACCGCAATGATCAGGTCCCGGACCAGTTCGTCGCCTCCCTTGAGATCATTGTAAAGCCAGGTCAGGAGCAGGATCAGGGCCGACTCTCTCCACACGCCCATGAGGAAGCTCAGGCCCAGCACTGTCGGGATCGAGTAGAGCATCAGCCGGCGTGTCTGCTCCGAGGTGATCCTCCCAGTGGGGATCGGTCGCCATGGCTTGTTCACAATATCCTCCTGCACCGACTCGGGAAGTCTCTGGTTGGCAAGGTCAAAGATGTAGACGTTCGCCCAGTTGAAGAGGGCCACGAGGGGAAGTCGGAGGAGGGTCCCCTCGATCGAGGGATTCTCCTGGGTGCTGAGGCATGGACCCGCCAGAGCACCTAAGACACCGAAGGCAGTATTGGGAATCACGAAGGTCGGAAAGTTACTTTCCGTAAAGAGCCAGATAAGATAGGGGAGGTCCCTGAATCGGGCGAGACTGCGCGCCTTGGGCGGATAGCCAGGTCGCGGGATGTCAGTAGCGCCTCGAAGGGCGGATCCTTGGTCTTGCTTCTCCATTGCAATGATCAAGCCTTTGAGATCTTGTTTTCCTTGAGAGACTGGTGTTGTGGTGTTGTACTGTTGAAGTGTGGAGGGTTGCCGGATTCCCATCGGCGGGGCAAAGGGATGTCCCGGAAACTTTAAGTTTATCTCATGATGGGCGAACGAGGATGTGATCAGTAGCCAGCAGCATGTGGCCGATGGGTGATGCCGGAGGGCTGGGTGTGAAGGGGACGGTGTATCTGGGTCGCATCATGTTAGTGTGAACAGAGTCAGGGAGAGTGGAATGCAGTGTGAAGGTGTGAAGGTGTGGAAGGTGGGAGGGTAGAAATGGAGGGGTGGGTCTATCCGATACCCCGCTGCCCCTCTGCCCCTCTGTACCTTTGTACGGTGAACCTCTCTGGCTCTGCGTGCTGCGCCTCTGGGTTGTACGTGTTAAGATGCACGTTTTTAGTGTAATGAGTGGATGATTCATGTATATTAAGTTGTCTAAAGAGATACAGAAAGGCTACTGTCAAGAAGTCTCTTTAGAGAGAAATCTGTCCTCTAGTAGCGATATTAGAGGTAATATTAAGACACTAGGTGCCCCTAAAAACTATACTTAGCGTATTTAGTTTTTAACACTCTTACTTAACTATAATATCGCTACTGTCTATAGTACTATTAGAGTTTGTAACTCTTACTGATTCCTAAAAATAAAACAACTAATACTAATAATACAGAATTACTCTTACTAATAGTAGAGTTCTTTATAAGAAGTAAAGGTTAACAATTTGTTAACCTATTTTCTTTAGTCGTCTTTTAGGATCCTTATTTTCTTTAGGATCTCCTTATCTTCTTATTTCCTTCTCTTACATTAACTTCTAGTAGTCGTTTTGTTAGTATAACTAAGTCTAAAGTTAATGACCGTAGGCCTAGTTACTTAGTAAAGTTGTTAAACTTAGTAGGTCCTAGTAGTTTAGTAAGTATGTCTACTACTTAGTCGTTAGTTAGTATAAAGTCGACTTATAGCGCTCTTCTTTCTACTTAATCTTAACTATAGTAATACTAAATGTTAATGTGTTTAGTTCTAGCGTAGAATTAAGGGTTCTTAACTAGGGCGATAGCGCTTATATTGTCGGCTAGTAATAATATTAGTCGCTTAGTAGCTTAAACCTTAAAGTGTTAGAGGAGTCTTAATAACTAGACTACTTCTCTAGTAGTATAAGAGAGTATAGTGTACTTAGCTTTATAAGAAGAGAGTACGACAGTTGTTTGTTTCTTACTTAACTAACTAATTACTCCTCTATAAAGAGTAAAGACATACCCTTTAATCGACTTTTAGTCCTCTTTATTATGTACTTAGTCTATATTAGTGTATCTAACTAGTTCTTCTCCTCTATAGAATTCTAGTCTAACATCTAGTGTGTGTCGTAGGTATTGTATAATCCTTTTAACCGCTCTCTAGTATAGTTGTATTAGATTAGAGGCAAACTAGCTAATAGATAAAACAGTATATACGATGTCTAGTCGAGTCCTAAGTATAGTATACATTAAGGAGCCTATAGCTAATTAATACAAGAGACAGGCTTAAGGTATTATAGTTAATCCTTTCTTAGCCTTAATAAGTTAATACTTTTCTTCTATTAGTGTCGACACGCCTTATACGTTCTATATAAAGAAGCTTTTTAGGAAGGATTTAATGTATGCCTTCTATAAAAGTCAGATCGTCTAGTCACGTAGGTTCCTCTTAACCTTAATCCCTAAGAAGAATAAGACTAGTCTAATATCCTTTATTTTGTACTATTAAAACAGCTCCTTTTTAACCTTACTAATTTTAGTAATGTCTAGTCTAAAGATTAGAAGATTATTAACATAGACTATTAAGACTATGTTACTCTTTATAAAGACTATAGCGTCTTCTAGATATGCCGTAAATCCGATTTTCTTTAAGGCGGTTTCTAGAGTCTTAAACCAAATCCTTAGTACCTACTTAAGTCTATATAAAGCCTTCTTAAGTTTATAGATTACCTATAGGCGCTTTCTATCTATATACCTAGTAGGTTAACTTATGTACACAGTCTTATCTATGTTACTATAGAGAAAGGTAGTTACTACATCTATCTGTTTAATGTAGAGTCTATAAGAGGTAGTAATTACAAACAGTACTTTATAGCTTATAGGCTTAACAACTATAGCAAAGGTCTTGTTATAGTTAATACCTTTGATTTGTTTAAAACCGTAGACTACCTATCTAGCCTTAAATCTAGTAATCTTTCTATTAGTATCCCTCTTGATTTTAAACACTTATTTACCTATAAGTAACTCTTGTTTTCTAATAGTACTGTCTACTAGTTCTTACGTTTTGTTTTTATTAAGTAAGCCTATCTCCTTATCTATAGTACGTTTCTAGTAGATTACGTTTAGTAAGTTAATAGCTTGTTTGTATATTATAGGTTCTTCTAGTTCTATAAAGATAGGATAGACATTATTCTTAGTAAGGTATTCTGTTGTGTTAGTGTCTCTTAGCGGCTCTAAGATATAGATTAACTTATAAAGTAAGTTCTTTACTATTAGGAATGCTTGTACTATAGTTAGTAGATCTTTAGTAGTTACTATAGTATATTTATCCTCTCTAACTAGAAAGGCTATAACAATACCCTTATTAAGTTCTCTATCTCGTTGTTTAGTTGTTGTTAAGACAGAGACTGTATAAGCGATGTTCCTTTACTAAGGATATAGGAAGAAAGGGTGATTGTCTAGAAAGGGGACTTAAAGGTCTTTTAGAAAGGACGTAGTGTTTTAATTTAATTAATTTAGGTACCTGCCTAAGATAAACAGTAGCTTAACTAGTACTAGGTAAAGTACTAAGGTTTGTTCTATGTTTTCCTCTTTAAACTACTATATAATTAATAGTAGTACGTTCTGATTTTACCTTAAGTGTTCTTCTAACAGTTGTACTAGGTCCTACTAGGGTAACCTGTCTAGAGCCTTATACGGCAAGACTATCTTAGCTATAAGAGGTACTAGGTAGTTCGGTCCCCTAGTTAGTAGTTTTATTAAGGGGATTAAACTAATCCGTAAGTTCTTATTAAAGATTACTATCTTAGCCTGTTCTACTACGCCTGTATAAGGGTTCTAGATATAATAGAGGTTACTAGCCTTATACCTAATTAGAAAGCGGATTTTAGACTAGTCGTCTAGCTTCTTTAGCTTTTTAGAGTGTAGAACTACCTTATATACTCGACAACTAATTCGTCGTAAGTATAAGAGATTAGGCACTTTACTAGTCTAGGCCTCGTATAGTATTATGTCTTTTAGCGTAACTATAGTAGAGCGGTTCTTAAGGTATATAACGGTCTACATAACTTTAGCTTATATTAGATTAGGTAGAAAGGAGTTATTTAAGACCGTTCTAATACGATCCTATAGGATGTAGTTGCCTTTTTTAGTAACGCTATTCTAGCTTAGTGTATAAGGAGCTATAGGCTCTTACTAAACACTTATTTGCTGTACCTAGTCTTATAGTGTTTTATTAATAAATTCTCTACTATTATTAGCCTAAATCCGTTAGATTCTAACGCCTTTTTACGTATACATTAGGTCGTAGAAAGAGATAATATACGACTAGGCTTTGTCCTTAGTTTTTATTAGGTATGTCTAGGTATACTATATTAAATCATTAGTGATTATTAGGTAGTAGGTACTACTATAGGTAGACACGATTCCCCTTAAAAACCTAAGATCTATATAAACGAGCTTAAGTAGATTAACTACGTACTATAAGATAGATAAGAGGTTAGAGTTCCTAGCCTTTCTAAGAGTGTACAAAGAGTAGTTCTAATTATTATCTGTATCTAATATTTTGATCTTATTAGTTATCTTTTATATACGCTAGACGTTTGTAATCCTAAGGTGTACTATGTACTTGTACTAGGTCTTTATTGTCTAGAGTAGCGAGTTCTAGAAGGTAAGGAATGTAATAGGTAAACTATAGTCGTCTAGGTATTTAATGTCGTCTTAGCTTAAAGTATTAAGTCAAGTAATCTGACTAAGTATAGTGCTAGTAGCTACTACTTTTGTACTATAACAGAGCTTATAGCTATCTGCTATTAGGTAGCTTCTAATGCCGAATTTCTTAAAGAGTAGGCCTAAGGAGAGAAGGTTTGTAGACATCTGTAGCGAGTATAGTACCTAGGTTAATTTTAGTAGGTAGGTACTAGTTCCCTCTTTTCTTTAGAGTATAATTTAGACGGTCTTACGTCTTGTAGTAAGTACTTGTCCTAAGCTATTTATCTAAACTAGTGTAAGGAACTTAGTAAAGGAAACAAAAAGCTCTTTTTAATAGTAGATGTATGTGTCTACTATAGAGTTAATAGCCTAGTCACGCCTATGTAGCCTGTAGTTAGTAGTAAAGGCTATAAATATAGGCTTGTATTAAAAGGACAGAAGATAAAAGAAGAATAATAAGGCGGTAAGTAAGGTAAGTCTAGCCTTAAGTTAAAGAAGAAGTGTAAAGAACAAAAGGAGAGTTACTGTAGTTATAGTCTTTTAGCTATTAATTATGTATAGTAAGTAGATCTTACGCCTAGCCTTGTCGTTAAGTACGAGTAAAGGCCTAAGGATCCTTTTATATAAGTTTAACTTGCTTAGCTATTTACTAGTCTATAGTTACTACTACTTATTATTACTTGTTAACTCTTCTGTCTTTACTTTCTTTACGTCTCTATTATTAGGCGAGTCTGTACTTCTTTTATTTAAGTCCTTTTAGAAGTAGTTGACTATATCGTGGTTTTTTATACCGTAAATGTTACACTAGTAGGACTTTCTGTTTGCTAGTAGGGGTCTTTAATGACTACCTCTACCTGTTCCTTGGCCTCGACCTCTACTACCTCTACGGCCTCTTATAGGTTTGTCTTGTTGACCTTAGTTCTTAATAAAGGCTTAGAACGCCTAGAACTGTTTAAGAGAGAAGGAATTGTCTCCTTAGGCTACAAACATAGTAGTAGTACTAGTGCCTAAGATATTACGTTACTTTTACTCTTTATCTAGGGCTATCTAGACAACGTTATTAAAGAAGAGCCTATCTATAGTCCCTATAGCTAGAGTTCTGTTTGTGTCTATAGTACGGCTAACCTAG